CTCCTTGATTCTCCCATGCTGACATTTGATAGAAATTCCTAGAAGGCATCAACTTTCTCTTCTAAGAGTGGTTCTTTTAGCTTTGCATGATGTACATATACAGGAGTAAAGTTTCCTGCCCTTACTCTCTGGGTACCTTGCTATGGAGTGTCCTGTGCCTAGGAAATTTCCATAGCTGTTGGCAGTGATAGTATCTGCCTGTGGCTGTGTCCAGGGTTCCAGAAACGATGCCAATGTCATTGAAATCTGCACCAGGGACACTGTTCTCTGATTGCTGCGGAGGTTCAAGGCCCTGTGTCTCATCATTGAGGACACGTGTGTGCTGATTAGCTATCTGAGCTCCCAAGCCAAAGCTCTGCACTATATAGTACCAAAGGAAGGGGATTTCTCTTCTTCTTCTCTTCCTCCTTCCGTGTGTGTTCTTTGCTTATAGATGTACCCAAAATTATGTCAGTATTTTTGGTTTTGTGTATTTTTTTTATTTGAGTCTTCATTTCTCTAGAGTTCTGGCATAAGCTTTGCCCTACATTCTCTTCCCTCCTCTTCCATTTCACTCTTGTCTATTGTCCTTAAATCCCTCTTTTGAGACCCAGCCCCCACCCCTCTTAGGACAGGTTCCTTCTTTAGTCACTCATGTAAATAGACACATAATTGTTTCTAGCTCATAAATATTCTGGTTATTCCAGATTTTACTAAATCCCCAATGAACACTCCATTATTTCAAGCAATGGTTATTTTCACATTAGGTCTATATTTTTGGCAAGTAAGTTTCTCAACAAACATCTTTTACAGAACACTTTTTAAAAATGTGATTATATATAGATTTTTAAAATTTCACGTATGATTCCAGAATCCCTATCTGGTACCTATGAGCTATTCTAGAGACAGCATATCTGGCTGAACTAACCACCTTCTTCTCCCTCATTTCTTCAAACATTGTCAAATAATTCATTAGTAAGGAAATATGATTAGCTTTTGATATATGAGGGAATTTCAAAAAGCTCATGGAAAATGGATTAAAAGATAAAATTATAAACTTTATTTCTCAATATAATAAGCTTATCAGGTTCAAGACACTTTTGTAAGTGACACTTCTGTAAGTCATTTAGTCCATCCCTAAAGAACTCAGCATTCTGGGAATTTAATCATGTCAATGCAGTATTTTTTACATAATTAACTGAAGAAAAATGAGTGCACTTTAAATATTTCTTAATATTTGGAAACAAAAAGAAGTCAGGAGACAAATCAGTACCATAGGAGGAAGCCTAATGATTTCCCATCAAAACTCTTGTAAAATTGCCCATTTGATGAAAGAATGAGTGGAATCATTGTTGTAGTAGAAAAGAACTTTCTGGTGAAACTTTCCCAGGCATTTTTCTACTAAAACTTCAGCTAAATTTCTCAAAACACTCTCTTAATAAGTAGATGTTTTTGTTCTTTGGCCCTCCAGAAAGTCAACAAGCAAAATGCCTTGAGCATCCTAAAAAACTTTTGTCATATGACCTTTGCTCTTGACTGGACCACTTTTGCTTTGACTGGGCCACTTCCACCTCTTGGTATCCATTGCTTTGATTGTGCTTTGTCTTCAGGATCATACTGGTAGAGCCGTATTTCATCTGCTTGTTACAGTTCTTCCAAGAAATTCTTCAGAATCTTGATTCCACCTGTTCAAAATTTCCATTGACAGCTCTGCTCTCATTTGCAGCTGATCTGGGTGCAATGATTTTGGCACCCATCTAGTGGAAAGTTTGCTCAACTTTTTTAGTCAGAATTGTGTATATTGAACCAGTTGAGATGTCTATGGTGTAGGCTATTGTTTCTGCTGTTAATCATTGTTCCTCTTCTATTAGGGACAAACAAGATGAATTTTTTTCCTTGTAAATTGATGTGAATGGTTTACTGCTGCAGGCTTCATCTTCAACATTATCTCGTCCCTTCTGTAACTGAGTTAACCAGTTGTAAACTGCTGATTTGGGGGGAGAGCACTGTCCCCATAAACTTTTCATAAGTTATCAATGATTTTACTATTCTTCCACCCAAGCTTCACCACAAATTTGACGTTCGCTCTTGCTTCATTTTTAGCAGAATTCACATTGCTCTGAGAGGGTCTTTTTTCAAACTTATGTCTTATACTTCTTAGAGCCTCATACAAGAACCTGTTCAGGCGTATTATGGCAGTTAATATGAGTTTATTTTGGCAGAAAAAAAATTGAAATCCATGCTTAGTTTTTTCATAATATGCATTTTCTATAAACATTTTGAAAACCCCTCCTCTAATAGAAGTCAATAGGTGTATAAAATCCAGTATTGTCCTTAATACCTGTGCCCAATATGAGAATTTTAAAAGTGTTTAAAACTTAAAGGTCTTGAATTATCTTAAAAATAATGACATCTTATTGTCTGTATTTTTAAATAGACTAGTTACATGATACAAGTTTGAAATTTATATCACTTATGTGATGCCCCTATTGGCAATAAACTATGATCTAGATAAGAGATATGACAGAAAAGCTCAGCAAGAGACAAAGCACCCTTTTCCATACTAAGCAGAATGAATCTAGCCTTTGTTTTTATCCTGCAGAATGGCCACATGACATGGTAGAAAAATTTAATTTGGGTTGGGGTAACAAGGTCTAGTTCTGCCACTTATTGATTGTCATTTAACTGTTTGAATTTCAGTGTTCTTATCTGTAAAAGGAGGGGAAATTTCTGACCAGCTTAATAACAAAAATATTGAATGTTAATATTGAGTGCATATTAGGTTCCAGGCAACACCCTACACAACTTAGAAAGTTTATCTCAATTAATCCCTTTCACATCCCTCTGAAGTAGGTAGATTACTATTTTTTTTCAGATGAAGAAACTGACTTTGTAAGAGGTTAAGTAACTAGCTTCAGTTCATTCAGCTACGAAGTGGAAGAGCTATGATTCAGACCCAGACAGTCTGACTGAATCATTGCGCTTAACTGATGTGCTACTCCAAATGAAATGGAAGATGATGTTCAAATGCAGGGGAGTGATATTAACTCTGAATTCACTATGGTTATTTTCCTCTGAGATATATGGTTGAAGCCAGTCATTTCTCAAAAACAGCAACTGCATTCTCTATAACTGTCAACTGCAATCATTTTCCAGATAGACATGGTAATTTTGTATTTGTAAAAATCTTTCAAATTAGCTCAACAAAATACCATTTTATTCAAATTCCATTGCCCACAGCTATTTTAATGATTTTGTATCTTATGAAACCACTGTATATCACAAACTTTAATATATTTATATAGTTACAATTAAAGTATACAATAATTTTACATTATGCTTATTTCACCTAACATTAAATTATGGATCTGCTTTATTCATTCATTCAAAAGATATTTATTGAGCTTCTGCCACAGCTAAGCATTATCTAGACTCTGTGGATCCACAGTAAACAAACCAGAAACCAGCCAAAATCCTCACTCTGTTAAAGCATTGCTTCTAGTAGGAACAGAGTATAACACATCAATGATAAAAAGTGCTAAGAAAAAAATAATAAAGCAGGTTGAGGAGGCAGACAGTGACAGGTGGTATTCTACAATAGTTTGATGAGGGAAGGCAACTCTAAAAAGGTAGTGTTTCAGTAGAGATCTAAGTGAAGTGAGGGAGTGAGCCCTGCAGGTATCTCAGGGAGAGAGTTTCTAACAAGGAAATGGCTGGAGGGAGTTTGGTGTGTTTGAAGAGCAGCAAGGAAACCAGAATGAATGGAATGAAATAAGAGGAAAGTGGTGGAAGATGGTGGGGTGCTAATAACTAGCGAGATAATAACTAGAGAGATCAAGTAAGGTCATGTCAGATTCTAATTTTATTCTGAATGAGTTAGAAGCCTTCAGAGGGTTTTTAGGAAAGTACTGACATGATCCATTTTGTGGTTTAAAAAAAAAATCACTTCAGCTTCGTGCAGAAAATAAACTATAGGGAGCAGAGTGGAAGCAAGGAGACCAATCAGGACTCTGCCACCATGGCCCATAATAAGGGCGGGTAAGGCAGTAGTGGTGGAGGTGGTGAGAAGTCTTGTTCTGAACGTTATTCACAGGCAGAGCTGACTAGATTTACCAACTGTGGGACATGAAAGAAGGGAGGGAAGGACAATGGCTGGTTTTTTTAACCTGAGCACGTGGAAGAGTTAAGCTGCCTGTTTTGGAAAGGAAGAGAATTGAAGGAAAAAAGATTTGGGGTAGAAGTGGGCAGGGTAGGAATCAGGAGTTCTGTGAATGAGACCAAGTTAGTTATCTCAGGGAGTATGTCAAGTATACAGCTGGATATACAATTCCTGAGTTCTGAGGGAGAGGTCCTAGCTAACTTGAGGCTGCAGTTGAGAGTAAGAGAATATGAATTGAGCACTGCACTGTCCAAGTTATAGAGGCCAGGAAGATGAGGAGGAGTGAGCAAAGGAATGGCCAATGAGAAGCAAACTACGAAAGTATGATGTCCTGGGAGCCTCGTGAGGAGAAGGTCAGGGAGGAGGAAGCAGTCGTGTGTGCTAAAGGCTACTGATGTGCTGACAAGATAAAGTTTAAGGATTGATCTCTGGATGTAGCAATCCAGGTTCAGTTTAACAACACAGGGAGAAGCGGAGGAGGAAAGAGGAATTGGAAACAGTGAATACAGACAACTCTTACGAGGCCTTTTGCTTGAAAGGAGAGTAACAAAAAAGAATGGTTGATGAATAAGGTCTTTTGGTTTGTTTGACCTTTGTTTTAATATGAGAAATATTGTAGTATATTTTAAGGCAGATTAGAAAGATTGAATAGAAAGGATAAGCTCATGATGTAGGAAAGGGAGGATTAGGACAGCAATTGCCTCCCATTGATATATCATAATTTACTTATCCTTTTTACTATTCATTTAATTTAAGTTCAAGTTGCTTCTAATTTTTGCTATAATCTGGCAAAGAAAATCTTTGTTCTTATTTATTTTTTATGCATTGAAATCATTTCCTTAAGATAAATTTGCAGGTGAGGAATCACTGGATCAAAGAACATGAAGATTTTTAAGACTCTTGACAGTGCTCTATTGCTTTAAAAATCAATTTACCATGCCACCAGTAATGTATAAATAATTAAGTTTTTATCGCAACCTTGCTAGAGTTATGCCATATAACTTGAGGCGATAGTTCATAGAATCCCTAAAGTATTCCAACTACCCTTTTTCTGAACAGACTGTTAGCTCCTTAAGGACAGAGATAATGTCTTAATTATGTTCATTGCCTCCTATTTTTTAGGCCAAATATTTCTCTAATAATAATAATTACAACATTTATCTGAAATCCCTCTGTGTTAAATCATAATAGTGTGCATATGGTGTAGTGAGAAAAAAAATCATCAGTTTTGAAATCAAACCAACCTGTATTTTAATCCCTGATTCATTATTTGGGCTTCACTTAAGTCACCTTAATTTCCCCAATAATAAACAGGTTAACAACAATCCTTGTTTTCTAGTCATGATGAGTGTTCAAATGAGATATCTGTGAAGATCCTAGCACCAAGTACAAAAATTTTGGTGAAATAGTGCAACTTTTAGAAGAATTCTATATTTATTATGAAAATAGCTTGTGAATGTTTATTTTTTTAAGCCAGGAAGAAAAAAAAATCCCTCATACAACACACCTTGTCCTCAGCTCATAAAGTTCTCATCTTACAGTTTTGCTAATTATCATGAAAAAAAAATCCCCATGAATTTCAATTCTAGTAAACTGTCGAAATAGCAAGCACCTGGGGTATCTCTTGGGACAGTGCAGGCTGCGACAGTAGACCTGGGATCAGCCATCTCTCTAGAAATAGTACCAGGCAGTAACCTCCAGGTGACTAAACGAGGCTCCGTCTGCACATACAAGCTTAGAAAGCTTTATGATTATTAGTCCAGCCTGCTGTGGGGAGGAAATAACACACAGAAGAGTACAAATGGAAGTCAAATTCATCACGACATCCAGTCAATTTCCAAACAGGTAAGAGAGTCTTTCATGATGGGTAGAGGGTCCTCTTGTATAATGTGAGGTTAGGAGTGTAAATATTGAGATTTATGTCTGCATCCGTTTATAGGCTTGTATATAAATGAGTCAGCAGAGAACCTTTGTGAAATTTAGGGAAAATTTCTTTAGCCTCAAAGTCTGAAATTCAAAGAAAACACTATGCAATTACGCAACGCATCTTAACAGTAAAGACCATACCACTATCATAAGGATTTCTTATAAAATTCATAAGCATCCTAAAGAGAGTTAAAATTACAAATACATCCACTTGAACAGAACTCAAAAATTTCATAAAAGATATTGAATGGAACAGATATTTTCCCTGTCTTGTTCAGTATAGTTTTCACACTTACATTGGAGAAAAGATGATTGTTTGCATTTATAATGAGAAAAGAAAACTGAGAGGTTATAGTGAGCTATTTCACTAAACCTAGACGTTTTTATAATAGCAGCATCTTGGGGACCCCACGTTTGCGTATAGACTTCACTAAAAGACTAGTCAGTATTTTCCATTATAATCGGATGTGGGGGACCGGTGAATGCAAGTTAGTAATATGAGACATCCCTGGCCTAATTCCCAGCTGGGGAACTCAGATTTGTTGTTTTTCTTCAGTAAACCAACAACCTTATTATTAAACTGTGACTCTTTTCATAAAAATTATGGCTTTCATCAAAAACTTATGTATGAATTTATTAGTTCATCTATATATAAATTTTTTCACCCACAGGTGAAAAAAATCTCACAAAATATTTAATTCACTTAAGTTTATTTCAAAAACTGTGTAGTTTCCCCTGTGTTCTAGGCATTGCATGAAGTTCTGGATGTAAAGAGATTAAAAATAAGAATTCAGTTTGGTTGTTTAAAATAATATAGTGGTTCTAGTGTTGGTACATAGTTATAGATAATTTTTATTTTATCTGTGGTCTTTGATGATGAATAGCAATGTCAAAGAATAACACATCTGGTGTTTACATCCATCTTAATAATAAAATTGGATTAACTTCCTGTCTGATTCAATACTGCAGAAAACAGTCATCAAGATGGCCCAAATAAATCATTTGATTCAAGAAGTCAAGCTCTATTTCCCACAAAATATAGGGCTGCCAGATTTTTTTTTTTAGTACGTCTCTGATGTGAGACATGAGCAGATAATAATGCCAAATTATGGTTTGGCAAGAATTTCAAAGCAGGACTTAGGGTTTAGCAGCAAGATTAGACTAAAGAGTAAGAAAAGTTTTTAGTGATTTTCTCTTAATATCTAGTGCATATATGCATTTTATGCAGGACAAACCTGCTTACATCTAGCATTTAATAGAAATTAAAGCTTTAAAGAAGATGTGGCTTCTTAATCTTAGACACCAAAGTATCTTTGCCTACATCTTCCACGGTCCTAAATTTATTTTTTTTAAATCGGTATTGTGAATTACTCAGTTGATAACTGATGCTGGATTGTGTTGTATGAAATTAGCCATTTCTGTATTTAGCTGTAGCAGGAAGAATAAACTATAGATAGTCTCCTTTGTTTTTCTAATCAATACATGCACTTCTATCTTACCATTTAAATAATTAGACCAGAGATAGAGCAATCCTAATAAATATCATGACTCAAATCATGCTAAAATGAAAAAGAAAAAAGAATCTTACTCTGGGAATTGGGAGGTAATCACAGGATGAAATTGGCACAGTCACACTGTGCATTAAGGTTATGCTGCAGACAGCATCACTCAGAATCTTTCTTTTCTAGAACTGAGGTGGTTCTTGAGGTGCTAATCACAGAAATAACACACTGTGGAAAATTATATGCATTTTATTATTTCACCATATTCTTCTACAGATGAAAGGATCGTAAGAACACTGACTAAAACTTATTCCGTACTCCATCTTTATTCGTTTTTAGTTATGCAGAAAATTGTTAATTTCCACTGTGATAGAAAAAGCAAAATCACCAAGAATAAAAGTTGAAAGGACATTAAATCATAGAGTTTATATTTGCATCTCAAAAGCACGTGTCAATAAACCTCATTTCATCTTACCGTGTTTCTTGGGGGATTCTGTAGTTCACCAGAAGAATAAAAACCAGAATCCCATTACAGTCATTGAAGTGAAACACAAAACTACTTCACGGAAGGAATCAAAATGAAAGTAAATTTACAACGTCCTTCCACAGAGCGTTAGGCTCCAAACCACCCTTGTGACTGGACTGGTGTTTCAGAGCTTAGATGATCTCCCTGCTCCTTCGTGGCTCAGGCTTTTGCATGGGATCAGTTTAAAGTCCCACAAGAACATATTCCTGTTTATTGAGTATAAGCACATAAGTATAAAAGGTAGCCATCTCTCTATTTTACCACATCTGGAATAAAGTACCAAGGACATGTAAGGATTGTTTATTTCTTCGTTTGTTTTTGTTTTTTTAACAGTATTTGTATTTTTGATGGCTTGGGACAATATCAGTTATGACTAGAAAGCAAAGTAGTTGGGGCTGGGGGAGTTGAAAGATTATTATTTCGCCCTGGGACACATCTATTTCCAAGCATCCCTTAATGCCACTTTGAAGTTAGTTTGTTCTCAATTCTGATTGAATACTGCAGTGAGAAGCTTCCTCTGTCCTTTCAAAAACTCTCCATGAATGGGAACAGTCACTGCTCTGCTGATTGGAGTTTTGTCATTTTGATGAGACTGGATGTAGAGACCTGAATTTGTCTGACCTCGTTTTTTTTTGGTTTTTTTTGTTTTTTTTTCCAAGCAACATTTGTGTGAATGTTGAGCTTTGGTCCATCCAGGGTTTCTGCCTGGCCCCAACTCTAGCCATTTTCAACTCCAGCTTTGGCTGCTGGGTTCTATCTCCAGCATGAGAAATACTGAAGGGAGAGGAGGGGGAGTAAATGATTTAGGGGAGGCTGAAAAGGAACACAAGGAACAAGAAAAAACAGTGAGAAAAATAACATTCAGTAAAAGATAGAAAACATAATCAGGGTAGGTGAATGTGGAAATTTCTGTTGACTCGAACATATAATAATAAGACTCAAAAACTCTTTTAAAAGCAAGGAGCTTGCTATTATATTTGTTTACTGTACCCAGGATAATACCTTTTTGTGGTTAAATCGTGATTTTTCTCCTGTCTCTAAAGAACTTTGTATTAAGCCTCTGCTTTCTTCTTTTTCATCCATAGATGTATCTATAACTTTTATAAAAATATTTATATAAGTATAAATGGGCACAAAATCATAAAGTGTAGAAATAGCAGTATCATAAAAGTATACAGAGTATTATTTTATATTTTATGGAAACTTTATCTCCTCTACTGAATTTCTACTAGGAAGAGTCAAGACCCTCACCATTTCATGATTTTTAAAAATAACTTTTCATAAGGATGGGGGCTTCCTATAAATTATACAGAATTTAAAGTTTTCAGAACAGTGTGCAAAAGTTCTTCATTTAATTGCTAAATTTGAGAAGTCTTTGCAGGTGAAAGAAAAGGTCTTTTCATAAGAATGTTATTAGGGGATATGAAAAGGGACACTAATTAAGAAGTAACATTAAAATAGAGGACAGAGATTAATGAAATGGGAAAAAAACTAGGTTATAAAAAGCTTTTCAAATGAGTAGGATAAGGAATTCTAATCTAAGGCACTAAATGTGGCTCTGTTTCAATATTAATATTTAATTTTTACTGGTAGAAAAAGAGGATGAATGTGGATTGAATTCAACATCTATATTTTTGTACAATTTAGAATTTGGGCTGCATGTTCACTGTAGCCATGGTTTACAGGGGCAGGATGGAGAGTGACCAGAAGCAGAGATTCTGAAATCCAAGTACCCTTCTTAAAATGTGCTGTTTTGACTTTCAACCTCAAATATATATTCGCCCCCCAAAACATAGTACTTTAGCAAAACCAAATTATTTTTATTATTGCTTTTTCCTGAGGCCTAGATTTCATGATTGACTTTTGGCTGAAGCTCCTGGACAAGCGTAACAATCAGTAAATATCTATACTGCAGATCCAATCATGCTACTTCTTAGTGTCTTGATATTATTACTGATCCCATAAATAAGTTCAAGACCTTCATGTCATCAACAAAGTTGCTACTCCATTTCCCCTTGTGCTGAATATCCAGAGAAGCAAGTTGTGAAATTGTTTTCAACATCGGTATGTAGTAAACACATATCTCTAGGCAGAGCTTATTGAGAACTTTTGATCTTCCAGGCCTAGCAGTTTTATATCTAGTGGCTCATGTAGGTCTCACATAAAGACTACTAAAGGGAGGCAGTTATTACTCCCATTTGACAGATGAAGAGACTGAAGCTCTGAGAGAGTTAATAATTTGCCCAAGGCCACTCACCCCAGGCTTGAATCCAAGTCTACCTTACTAACCCATACTCTTAACTATTATTTGATAATGTGGCAAAGTTTTTTATTTGGTATTTGATCATGTACCTGTAACTTCCTAACATACAAACATAGTTATTTAATATCTTAAGTTGTGCTGAGTCTCCCTAGCAATTTAGAAAACAAAATTGGTAAAAGCTTTTAAATGTGTGTGCACAAAATTCAAGTAGCTCCTGGATACCATCCTTGTCCACAAGGTCTTACCCTTTCTAAACAAGAAATTTATATATCATTTCTCACTCACTACTAATATACATTTAGCTCCTTCGTGAATTGTTTTGATTAATTGGCTGATGGAGTGATCTAGTAGCCCATGGCAATAACAAAGTAAGCTTATGAGAAACTCATTAAGTTTGTATTGCAATTGTTTTCAAAATGTCTCAAAATATTACTGCTACCAAAACTCTAGTATTGTTATTTCGTGTGTCAAAAAGGGTAGCTCCTCATGAATGTAGGGATCTTAAGAAAAAAGATGAAATCATCTATAACACTGTTGCTGTGGTATAAAGGTCAAAGTTCTTATGATCAGGAAAAAAGGTTTTCTGTTTCCTATCCTACCTTTATCCTTTTGTTCTGAGCAAAAAGTG